CGATGGAGCGGAGATGAGGATGATGATGATGACTTGTACACGATGAGCGATATTGACCAAATGTAGGCAGATAGTTTGTACACATGTACATGTTTACGAGGCGAAGAAGAAATGATGTACACATTTTCCCGATAAGATGGCCTACAGCTCATATCAGTCGTTTTGAGGTATCAGAGGTTAAACGGCTAAAGGTATAGAGATCAGTTAACGAAGGATATTGTCGTCAGTGTTGAGTGTCGCTTTAGGCATTTCATGGCATCATCAGCATCATATTTCGTTTAGTTTCAAAAATACAACCGCACTCACACACGCACACACCTTTAACCTGAAACTCTTTGGCACGTAAGCAAGAGAGGCATCACTGGAATGCAAATATGTGCATGTAAATTTGGAAAACAACCTAGTTCTTTGTACATGGGCAAAGTAATGTGTTGCTGCTGTTGCTAAACGGCCACAGCATTGAGCAGTACAAGTACAACAACATGTAAAGCAATTTGCCATACCTGTATTGTTACACAAATTAGATCGTACCTTTCGTACAAATGTTGATACATATATTTTATAGGCCCTACATGGAAGTTGAATATTTAAACGAATGTTCGGATCATACCAGGGAATCTCGTTGGCATAATAGAAAAATCCTTGATTCTGGAAGGGGAATTTTCGTTTTGGTTAACAACATTGTAAACAAATATTTACTAACGAAACAATGTCTGCTTTGAGCCTGCCCATAGAAATGTGAATATATTTTTAATTGATTAGAATATTCATTGAAATTGTAGTTATGTAAATGGGCACAACAACTATGTATTAGTGTTGATTGATGGTTCTTATATACATTTCTATATTATGCAGAATATTATATAAACAAAATAAGACAATAAAAATAATAAATACCATATAGTAGAATAACTGCAACATAAGTCCAAAAAAGACGTACAACTGCAGTTGACATTAAATTGAAATAAAAAAAGTTTTTTAATTGATATTGTTTCGAGGACATTTTTGATCGGAATTTCCACAATTCAATTTTAGTAAAGAGTATTTATCTTATATTTGAAGGTTTTCAATGATGATATCCAGCTAAACTGGACAGTCTTGTGAAGGATAAACTTATTACATATTTTCTGCTAAGACCATAACATTTTATATCTCATTAAAATTTTATACGAAAGAAATCCTAAACAAAAGGTATTTCCTGCCTCATAAAAATCCAATCCAAGTGTCCATAAAAATGCACTTACATTAAAATAAAATTTTGTTATTTAAATTATGAACAAATTCTGGAATCCCTCAGCTGGCATAAACGGATGTCCTTTATGGAGAATGTAGAGGTTATTCCATTGAGAGTTCTCTTTTGTACAGCGAAAAAATGGTTCAGCTGATAAGAAGAAGAGTCCCGCATTTTGATTACGTTCCAAATTATTTAAAGAGTCTATTTTACGAGTCTGTTAATAAAATAGATTTTATGTTTATGTCTGTATGCATAGGTGAAATAGTGTCTCTCAGTTATCTACACCCACACATACATAGATATACATATTCCTTTATAACTGGGTGATCCATCTACTATGGTAGTCCTTTGGGGGTTGTGAATAATTATTAATATGGAAATGTAAATTTGGTAGTTAAATAAACCAACTCATACGTATACACATGAGCAAAATATTATATTGGGATGGAACGAAAATAAATATTTCGAAAATGCTATGGGTTGAAGAGAACGCAGTATCAAGGCTAATGTGCTCAGATACCAATGTATTTGACCCTTTAAGAGTTTTTTAAACATATCTATTTCATTTTACGCATTTCTATTTCGGCAGGAACCAAAATTTGAGTTTTATCTTGTTACACCCCAGTGTGAATCTGGGTGCGTATCTGTGTGTGTGTGGCACACTAATCCCATTCGACTATATTAATATTTTACATCATATTGTTATTTTAATGTGTTGGCAATAGTGTGTTTTATAGTTGTTAGAGTCGAGGCACAGTGTGTTTGTGATTTCAGGATAGTTGTGGGTCTCTGTGTGTGTGTGTATGTGTGTATTTGACACTATGACTTCAATGTAGTGTTTTATGATGTTGTTTAACACGTATTAATTACAAATGCAAATAAAAGGGTTCTAATGTTTCAACAGCCCCAGAAACAGCAGCAACAACAACGGCACGACGACAACATTCTCGCAACAGCTAAACAAATGAGTGTTACCAACTTTGACACAACACATTCCACATCACAAAGGTGGCTCATTTATGTGCGTGCAAATTAACGTGAAATTCCATTAGTTTAGGTGTCGTTGTTAAAACAATGCCATAAAGAAAATGAACGTGTAAATGTATGCAAATTAGCTGAGTGTTATAAAGTGTCACATGATTAGTAACAGTGGGAATACATTTATGGTTCATAAATATCTTAGAGAGCATGTCACAGTGGATTTGCAACAAAACGCAAAACTTCCGTTGAATCCATCATCATCCCTCCCTCACTACGGCATCACTTTCATCTTCTGTAATTTATTTTGCATTACGTTTCCGTTTCATTGAAAACTTATAGTGGACATTGCAGCAAGAATAAGAATTTATCAATTTCCTTGGCAAATAATTAAATTACCACCACACAGACACATTCGCTCAAGCGGAAGGAACACCGAAAAAAACAACTCTAACCAAATGAATTCATTTCAATTTCACTGTAGCATGTTTTAATTATTCACTTCAAAGTTGGACTTTCATGTCGGAGTAAGAAAATTAATGCGAAGAAGAATATAAAAAAAAAACAAGATGGGAAGACTGCCTAAAGTGGTAATGGATATTGACACATTTTCTTTCGTTTGTTTGCTTTGCACAGCTTTGCTTTGCCGCTATTACAGCGGCAAGCCGAGCCGAAGAAAGCAAACTTCATTATTATTACAGTACAATTTGGACAAGAAGCGAGGAATTGTGTCAATATTAATTTGCATAAGGAACCGTTAAAAAGTTAAAATTCCACAATCGGCTATCCGAGGGAAAACTTTTCCGGCTGTCACTTACCGCTAGCACAAAGCCAAATTGCCAATGGCAATAACTGACGAAACAAAACTGGGAAATGTCATTACTTGACAATGGAAAGGATGTTTGTCTAAAGAATGGAAATGATTACAGAACCCAATGATTGGTCGGTCGGTCGGCCGTTGTAAGTAATCAAATGGAAATTAATGATTAGCTCCTAATTAATACACGTTTTTTTCTCAGCTAAATGTTACTCACACAATGTGATTAAGTGACAGGTAGAGGAAGGATCGGATTTTTTGTCAGTGTGTAAAATAAGATTGAAATTGCAATTTTCACCTCAATAAATAAAGTTTTAAAAATAGTTTAACTCGAACTGACTGCACTTTCAAAAACTCTAGTAAGGAGATAACACGTGATAATGAGACAAGCACTGAGATTTATAAAACAAAAGCAGTGAGAAATGAAACAAAAAACTATATGGAGTTATTTTCTTAACCATTAGGCCATACGCAGTTAATTCGAATGGAATATATCAAACCTAAAGACTCGGTTGTGCCCCCATAAACTTATGTACATAATAATGTCAAATTTCAGTCAAGAATATTTGGAGCTATTACATTTATAGAAATGTGTATGACCTTAGGAAGAATCTTGCGATAATAACATTCTCAAATAACATCTCAGCCTATCTTTTTTTTAATAAGAGTAAAAATTGGTTCATACAAATAAACCCGTTAATATTGACTTCTAACACAACATTTGAAATATCTCTAATAACAATTTGCATTGCAAATGCTTCCTAACTCAATGGAAATGTTAAAGTTCTGATACTCTTTGACTTTCTTCCCTTCCTTTGAGGAAATGTATTCATGTGTGAACAAGACAATATTGGTATGCTGCTTGTATTGGTATAATGTATTCTGTTAATACAAAATCTCAATTACTCACTCTCTTCGATTGTGGTTTTTGTCAATTAACTTTAGGCATGAGTAATTTATGTACTTGTTCTACACATAAGAACGCACACAAACACATACACATAGACAGACATATCATACACGCACACGTCTATTGCAAATAGATCCAATAACAGGAAATGCAAATAAACCTCCTTATTATGTATGGGAAACCACAAGACCTTCTGCTAGAGTTCAGTTCAGCTTATTTTAGAAAAGGATACTAATACACAATTAAAGAAATTATCTAGAGGGAATTAGTTAAAAAGGAAACATTGTTAGAGTCCTACCCAAACTATAGATTGAAAACGAAAGAGAAATAACTATTTTTAGGATTTAAACCATCCAAACTCCACCATTATGTAGATTTCTCATGGAGTGCGTGCACTGTAAAGGCAACAAATCTTTGCTGCTGCTGCTTTTGCACTAATCTTACCACATATTCGTCTCAGCACTTGCATACTTGTGGCAAAGGCACGTGGTCGGTTCCAGAGCAGTAAATTGTATTTCCACTATAACGAACGGAACCACTTGCGCACACAGACACACAAGCACCTTGGATGATGACGATGAGGAAAAACCAAATTAATTTCTGTTGTGGCTTCCAGAACAGCAATATAACAAAAATACCTTTCATTCGACTTGTTTTTGTTTTGTCTTCTCATATTCTGGCTAGAACTACTGAACGAGAAACAGACATGCAGATGTCTTGAGGAGACCAAAAGCCGCATAATGTTACACCTGTGCTTAGTCTGAGGATGTGTGTGCGTTGCGGTTTCCTGGCATATGTAAAATGCGGAAGTCAGAAGTACTACTACAACTGATGTAATTTAAATAATTACCAACAACAACAAAACAAACAACCAAGCCATCCAGGCAACATAACAATGGTAAAAGTTGCCGCATCAACACTTTGCATATTAAATTTAAAGTTGTTGGCAATTCTAAAGTTGTGTTTTATTGTCTAACGTAATAGGCTTGGAAATTGCAGTAAATTGACTCAACGTCTAGAATTTGTTGTCTCGGAAAAAAACTGGAAGAAGAGGAGTGAAAATGACAGTTTCCTATGCCTCTGAGGTGGCCCAGTGTAGGGGATTTGGTTGTTTTCCAAAACTTTTACTCAGGTGAGTTTCTAAGATGTCAGATCCCATAATACTGAAGATTGCTATCCCAACTAGATGGCGTGCCAGCATCTATAAACTTATATGGTTGGATTTGTTCATATACCTAAGCATTTACTATGCTCTCAATTTCACCTATCGTTTCTATTTGAACGAGTCACACAAACAGTGAGTATAACGCAAGGAAAAAGGCCGGATCTATTCGTATTGTTGTGAACTGTTTTTCAGAATTTTTGAAACAATTGTCGTATACTGCTATAGCAGTATATCACTGATACCTCTAATGTTTGTATTGGGATTCTATGTGTCCGTCATTGTGAAACGTTGGTGGGAGCAATATATGACTCTACCCTGGCCAGACAATACGGCTGTCTACGTCTCATCACTCATAAGGGGTCAGGATGAAAATGGCCGCAAAATGCGCCGCACAATAATGCGCTATGTATGCCTGAGCCTTACCATGGTCCTGACTAGGATATCTCCACGCGTCAAAAAACGTTTCCCAACCCTGGATTATTTAGTCGATGCTGGTCTCTTAGTCGAAAATGAAAAGCAAATTTTAAAATCGTTGAATGAAAAGTTTGCCAAGCATCCGAAGCACTGGATGCCCATCGTTTGGGCTTCAGCCATTGTGACGAGGGCACGTAAAGAGGGCCGGATACGTGACGATTCCTCGTTGAAAACTTTGATAGATGCTTTGAATGGTTTCCGAGAGAAGTGCATGGTGTTGACATTCTATGACACCATGAGTATTCCATTGGTTTACACTCAGGTGGTGACCATAGCGGTATACACGTTCTTTTTGGCCTCGGTTTTCGGACGCCAATGGACGGGACAAACAGATCCCGATGGAATAATGAATATTGTGGACTATTTCTTTCCAATTTTTACGGTGCTGGAATTTATGTTCTTCATGGGTTGGTTAAAGGTGGCCGAGTCACTTATATGTCCTTTTGGCGAAGACGACGATGATTTTGAGGTTATCAGTAAATATGTAAATAGTTTTGGAAGAATTTTTGCTAATTTTGAATTTCTAAAATACATAGTTGAATTGGTTAATTGATCGCAATTTGCAAGTATCCTATCTTATTGTGGACGAAATGCACAATGAACACCCCGAACTTTTGAAAGATCAATATTGGCAACGTTTTTATCAAGCCCACAGCGAAGATCCGCCTCTACATTCTACAGCAAAAGTGAATGGGAACGAGTCAAGCAAATCATTACTAAATATAAACTTTGTGGTAATATTTTGATTGAATGTTTTATGCTGAGGTATTAACTGTCTTCATCGGTAGGACTCGCTAACCCGTTTCTTTCCTAAGTCCAACAGCAACATAGCTTCACGGAGTACCTTGGGCACAGACAAACTGATAATCCACAATGAAGAAATGGAAGAAGTAGAGGGGGCTACGGAAACAAAACCCAGTAGTATTGAATGTAGATTTTCAACTTCGAGTACAAACGACAATTCCGATGATTTTGAAAATCTAAAAGCCCAGAGAACCCTGGAAAGGCTTCAAAGGCAACATCTGATGCTAACCATACCAACGTCCAGAATATCGGAGACTGATAAAATTCCACTCATATCTACGTCAAACGAATCTTCCCAACTATCAACACAAGATGACGGCAATGCCAAGGATAAATCTGGCGAAACAAAAAAGAACATTTGAATAGAAAATAAATACCTTGAGAACTTGGATAAAAATAAAAAAAAAACATTATTTTGACAATGAGAAAGAAAATATTTGTTGTGTTTTTAAATATCACATTTGAAATTGTCATGACTGTAAGCTACACTGCAGAAGTTGCAACTTGCAAGAAATTCGGATGCTTTATAAAGCTGCTGGCAAGGTAAGAAGGGGACCACCCAAAAACAAATTGCAACTGACCTAATACATTCCATGACAGATGGAGAGGAAGCATTTACAAATTAGTGTGGATGGATCTGCTTCTCTTTCTCTTCCTTTACTACGCCATCAATCTGATATATATCTATGTATTGGACAGGGACTCGCAAAAGTATGTGGCATCGGAGCAGCAAAATAAGTCAGACATATAATGGATTGATTTCTTCCCGCAGGACCTTTGAAAGTGTGGTGTATTATTGTGCCAGCTATAGCAGTTTTATACCGCTCTCCTTTGTTTTGGGTTTCTATGTGAATTTGGTGATGACCCGGTGGTGGGAGCAGTATATAACAATCCCTTGGCCGGATTCTGTGGCCGTATATGTCAGTGCTCATGTCCATGGCCAGGATGAAAGAGGTCGTGTTATGCGCCGCACAGTAATGCGTTATGTGTGCTTATGTCTGACTATCGTGTTTTCGATGATTTCGCCGGGCGTAAAGAAACGTTTTCCCAAACTGAAACATTTGGTGGAGGCCGGCCTGCTCTTGGAGAATGAGAAGAAAATCATTGAAGCTATGGATAGTGCTTTCCCGAAGTACCCCAAACATTGGATGCCCATTATATGGGCGGCCAGTATTATCACCAGGGCTCGCAACGAGGGTTTAATAAGGGATGACTTTGCCGTCAAGACTATTATAGATGAATTGAATAATTTTCGTGGCCGGTGCGGTACATTAATGTACTACGATTTTATCAATATCCCCTTGGTCTACACTCAGGTCGTAACAATAGCGGTCTACTCCTTTTTTGTGTGCAGCCTTTTAGCTCACCAATGGACTGAGTTCAAGAAGAACACCTACGAGGGTTTAGATTTTTATATGCCGCTCTTTATAACTTTACAGTTCTTCTTCTATATGGGCTGGTTGAAAGTGGCCGAGACATTAATAAATCCCTTCGGGGAAGATGACGATGATTTTGAAGTGAGTACAAGGACTTTATGAGATTATTTTCAAAACTTGGAATTTTTAATTTCAGATTAATTGGATGATTGATCGCAATCTACAAGTGTCCTATTTAATTGTGGATGAGATGCACCACGAACACCCCGAATTGGTGAAGGATCAATACTGGGATGAAGTCTATCCTAATGAACTGCCTTACGAATCGGAATCTAAACGAGAACAACACCCCCAGCATTCCACAGCTAAATATGATGTAGATGAAGAATCGTCACTAAATACTGATAGCAAACACACTCCCGTAAGATTTTTATTTGGAGGTTTCTTCAAAATAATAATTTGCATACAAATCCAACAGATCGAACAACCGGAATCTCTTAGCATTATTGGAGGGGAACTTGTCAATACAACACTGCAGAAATTATCCAAGGGTTCACAGTCATCAGAAGAACATTTACTAAACCAAAATTCTTCTTCGGATGTAGAGAGTGTACAGAAAATAATTTCATACAGATCTTCGGAGTTTTCAGAAAACATTCTATGGAATAGGGATGAAAGCGAGGGCAAGTCAAAAATAAATATAGAAACTGTTTCCGTAGAGTCTAAGCAAGACAGACAACACGAACAAATTAATTCCTCAGAGGTGCAGCAAGTAGAGGAAACCCAGAACACTTCTGAAAGTGGTAAATTGACATTAATTTGAATATAAATTTATTCTATTTGAAAATGCTTTCCATTAAAGATTCTGAGGTCGATCTCTTTGAGCGGTTACGCCTCGAACGTCAACGGCAACGCACACAAAGAATGCATGATTTTCTAGAGCGCTATTTTGGTTCACAGTTTAAAATTGAAATGCCAAAAGTTTCCCAAGAAAGTACAGCCAACATGAAAAGTAAGAAGAAGCGATGTAATATACCGAACTTGAGTTCTTCATCAGAAGGAAATAACCCTTCAATAGATTCAAATTTGAGAGATATTCACAGCAACCTCGGTTCCAGTGCTTGTGGATGCTGAAACTTCACCAATGACCTCTGCAAAAAGTCAATCTTCATATGAATTTTCGGAATAATTGCTATTTTTCGATTTGTGCAATGTGGGGGGGTTACAATGAATTTTATAATTTACTTTCATTTCATTTTCTTAGTGTCCTATCACACTACCATTGAATGAATCATCTTATAATGTTCATATTTCCTGTGCTCTTTTATTTATTGTTGTTAATAAACCAAATTTTTGTTAAACATAATTCATGCCTACACTTTTAACCAGGAAAATGGGCATTCCTTTGCCTATAATATAACAGAGGCCAAGTTCCCGCTTGTGGTGATACGGGGCGAAGATCATTTTTGTGAAATAATAACGGTTCTCATGTCATTGGACCTTTTTTGGCGAAGAGTATTGCCAAAAACATTAATTTAGTTTTCTGTTAACCAACCAGAGTCGAAAGTATACGCACATATTTACATTCATATATTTCGTAAGTATTGCATATGATTCGTGGAGAGGATCCTAACCTCACCGACCAAAGAAGTGTATATTCATATATCATTGATGGTAGCTGTTGTTGTTGTTGGAGGGAGAGAGAGAAACAGAGTCTGTCTAAGGATATGAAAATATGAAATTGCTTTACACTTGAAAGCTCATTAAGTCGATTTATGTGGCAAGCCATAAATTGTTGCAGCAAAATGTTCACCGTTTACAGTTAGGCGAACGGCAACGACATGAACAGTTAACAATATAGGCACAGACTGGCTCGCCCAAAAACCTATTATAAGAGCCATATAGGGTCATACATGTAAAAAATTTCTGTCGAATTTCCTTTGAAGTCAACCAAATAAATTTCATCACATTTGCCTAACCCATATCAAAAGACGAAAAAATATGGACATTTACAAAAACATCCTGTTCTTAAGTCTGCAGAACCATTTGTCAATTTTCGAAATCCCACTGAAAGTCAAATAATTTCCACCATACTTACAGCAATGAAAGATTGTTTTTCTACGAATAAAATGATAAATTTGATAAGAAATATGAAATATTAAAATGTAAAAAATTTTTCATATGCGAAATGTAAATGTCATAAAGATTTACAGGAGTTATTAAGCATTTTCAGGACACCGTCAAGAAGTTCGGTTATAGCAAACTTGTTACGACCAATCAAATTAGTTCGTTATATCCAAGGCAATTCAATATAAATGATTAGCAGGAAAAATATATTCAGTGATATCAATGATTAAAAAACAAATATGTAAATATATTTAAAAGTAGTTCTTCATTACATTAGATGTTGAAATCGTTAATGAAAGTAAAAACAACATAAAAACTGGTATTTTTTGTAAAAAGTTCCATTATATTATAAAATTATTGGTCTGTTCCCGTACTGCGAGAATCTACTACTTTTTACTACGATTACGAATTTTCCTTTATGATATCGAAGAAAGTAGTTAAATCTAGTAAATTGTTGCAGTACGCGAACAGACCTTTTATTATACGAAATATGTAAATGTAAATGTTCTTTTCCGCATTTGCAAAAACCGCCATAACTTTGATCCAATTTTGTTGTTCTGTCCTAAACATATTTAGGAAATATCAATATAGTGACAATAACTATACCTATCCGAGTTTCCTACATACGATAGACGTTTTCGGAATTGGAATTTTCAACAGAAAGTCTGATTTGATAGCATGATATTGCATAAAGACTGCCTGGTTATTCTTAAATTAAAGAGACAAACAGCGGCGTGGTTTGTTTTATGAACGTGTATGTACCATGTAGCCGTTTCGCGTGCATTAAAGTCATATACTGAAATATCCAAACATGGGTAAGTACACATACATTCGCATATGTATACACACATTACGTGTTCCTCGGAGATGCGTATTATTATTGTTATTTAACGCGTCGCAGAGTTTTCTTATTGTTTTTATGGAAATTACCGAGCAGCCAAGCGATTCCAACCGTGTCGTTTGCACAAACACACACACACATCAGTGAAGACATCCAGACATTACATCAAAGTCACGCGAGAAGTTGACATTAGGTTGTATCATATCCAAATGGGAAAAACGAAATATTTTGCTTGCCACTGCTAATAGAAATTGAAAATATTGTTCACTGTTAGATCCATTCCAATGTTTTGTGCGTACTCCTGGATTCCATTCATACACATAAAATAATAATGATTTAACTCTCATGAGAAATCTATCATGCAAAGCCAATGACAACACAGCACTGTCATAATAAACACAAAAAAAAACGAAGGACGAGGGGGAAAACAAGAAAGAAAAGTCATACAAGTTTAAAATCAAAATAATGGCATCAAAATGAATTTTCCCTCTTTTTCGTTGCTTTTGGGGGGATCCTGTGTGAATGCAAGTTTATCGGTTGACCCGGAAATGATTCCCACATTCCTTTGCCATTATGGCAATTAAGTGCGAGACACCAGCTGAATGATGTATACGCTCCCTCGGCCCCAAAGGACAGCTGTGAGCCACCACAATGTCATATTTACTTGCTTCCATTGCTATGTGCCGGTTTGTGGGTTCGAAACATAATGAATGGTAAAAACTGAAAACTAATTAAAAAATAAAATCGCAAAAAATACTGCAAGTCTGGACCACATTTACAAGACCACTGAAGTTGATTTTTTTTTTTAATATTTCTGGAAATTGTTGCGGTTTCATTCAATAAAAATTTTACTGAGTATTGCTTCAAATTAGTAACATTTAAATACCAGATACACACACGAACGCACACACACCCACACACGGAAACACATAAACACGAATGCATTTACGCATATTTGCGTGTAATAAATAAATTGATTGCCAATTAAACAAAAAATGCCTTTTGGTGAGATTCTCTCTAAATAAAATTCAAATTCCAATAATTTCGTTTTTGTAAAACTACGACGATAACGAATTTTCTTTGATTGCATGTAATTTAGTTGCGATGTAACCAATTGTTTTTAATGAAACATTTGACCAATAGACTTTTTTGTTGATTTATAAAATAAGAACACTGTTGATAATTGGAATACGGTAGAACTTCAATTGGAACTAGAACAACTAACTTAATGCGGTCATATGTTCATGTCAGGCAACAGTTCATATGGAAAGACTTCGTTTAGAAACATAGTGGAAAACAAGTTTTCCGAATATCTCATTGGTCATTATATATTTGAAACATTGACATGTTGTGGACATATCTCATCAGCTTGCAGGGTATGTCCACTTACGCTGCTAGTCATTATATAGTGCATACTCAACCGCATCATGTAAATGGAAAATACCAATGCTCAGACTACCGAATCACTTGCAAATAGATTGACGGCAGAGGCGTGCAGGCGGACGGACGGACATGAAGCCAAACAAGCTGCAATCAGGCGTATATAGAAGCACACGCCACTACATGCAAAGCCGATGCGGAAATGTTGAAACGAAGTTATGTATTTGATTGGATTGATTATATTTTTGCCTGAATAAATTTAAACATAATTGCCAATTAACACTTTTTCGTCGTAATGCTTTGATGATTGATGACAACAACAACAACAACACCAATACACAAACGAGTCAACACACACACACAGTTACACAATGGCATTTGGAGGAATAAGTGTATCATATTGCCGGTTGCCATTGCCGCAAGTGTAGCAGAGTTATTGCCAATTTAAACATGTTAACCCAATACACAACAACACCAGTCAATCATGCAACAACAATTGGCCACAATGTGCACGTTTTTATTCTGATGAACTGAACTCACGCTCTCTGCCTCTGCCTCTCTTGCTCTTTCGCTTAGCAACGATGCCAATGTCAACGTCAATCGACCACCACTATATGCCAACAAACACACATACATACACAACAGCGATCATCCATAGTCCAGAAATCACTACCTCGATGGCCGTGTTCGAATCAGTAGTGGTAGTGGTCGGAGGTCGTTCTGACCAAATGAGAACTGCTTGCTCATGAAGACTTGACGGACACATCAAATCATATTTGCCTAGCCCATGTTCGCACGACAGGGTTTCGTTAGCTCGGGCTCTGGGTTTTACACTGACCGCTTGACTGATTGCTGGCGACCAAGGCGACCCAAGAGCGTGTGCTCTATTAAAATCCAAATTGGCAAAAATTATTGAAGCATCGATACATGACATTTTACCAACTGTTATTAAAACATTATTTGTATTGGGCGAATATTGTCACTCAGCACTTCTGACACTGTTGGTGGTGGTGGTGCTGTTGGTTTTGTTGTAGCTGCTGATACTGATGGTGTTGAAACCAATCATTGTTGTTTATAGCATTTAATTAAATGAATATTCAAATCGAACGATAGGTTAATTGTAAATATTTGCTCGTGTGTGTCCGAGTGTTTGAATGCACAGCACTGCTTGGATCTCGCATTAAATACAAATGAAACAAAGCAAATTGAAATAAAATCAGAAAAAAGCATAGATGTAAAAATTACACAAGAATTACCCTCAATATGCTTTGATTGGAGAACATCTGCACCAGTGTCCAGGATACAATTTTAAGTTTTAATTGAAAAGTACTTCGATAAAAATGTATTAATTGGCAGATCATTTCCCAGTAATGTAAAAAAGAGCACAACAAAATAAAAGTATTGAACATTCGAAGATTCCTTTGTTATTGAAAATAGTGAATAGAAGATAGTAGATTAGAAAATATGAATGGGTTGTATGCAAATGTATGTGTGAATACAGAGTGACTTGGAATTATATAATCAGCAGCAGACCAATCTGTGTTCGTACTGAACAAAAAGAAATTAAAGTGATATTACGTACATTCTCGTCGTTTGTGTTCTGCGATGTCTTCACCACTACCCACCCCTCGTTAAATGACCTCAATTTAATTTATTTTTATTCACAGAAAAATGTGTAGTTGTTTTAACGGCATAGTTTTTTTTATTATCGGTTAAGATAGTTTTAAATTCATTAATTTGCCCCGATGAAAATGTGTACAATAAACCAAGTTCTACAATCTGCAAAATAAAAATAAAACACAAATAAAAAAAACTAAAAACAAAAATGCTCAGCTCTCTGCTCCAATTATTCACAATTCAACAGCAAAATGCTGTTAGCTACTAATCAACAACGGCAGTAGTAGCAGCAGCAAAAACAACAAGTAGGCCATCATACTGCGAA